TATATGCTCATTTTGTATCCTATCTCTAAGGGTAAAGCCACTCATCCACCAGAGCAACCTCATCTCTGCCACACTTAACTTAGAATTATACTTCTCTTTTAATGGTCAACATTCGGCACCATAAAGCATTGCAGGCCTCACTACCATCTTATAGAATTCGTTAGATAAAAACAGAAATCTTTATTTTCATTTAGGGTGCTAAGGTCACTAAAGTCAATCTTATTTTCACAATCTTCATTAAAAAGTTTAGAAAAATATCACATCCACCTTTGTTGATTTTTGATCTTCATCCTTAATACACTTCACTTGAACTAAATCCTTACTACTCTTATCTCTTTGTTTGGCTAACTTATACATATATCTTTATCTCTCCTTAGTATCGAATCTAGTATATAAATCACTAAAATCTTAAGGTCTTTGCATTGCATATTGCTTTCTTAGATTCAATATGAGCCTCTTTATATTTTTTCCAATTATCAGAATTTTTAAAAATAAATCAATTTTTTTAACAAATCTTCTCATTATTAATCTTTTTCTTGCACATTTGGATTCCACCACCAACTATTATTATTATTAGGAGCTTTTACCTTTGATACTCCAAGCACATCTTTTGCAATATTCTTAATATCACTAGTCACTTTTTCCCGCATAACAATAGCATCCTCATGCACTAATCTTTGAATTTATCAGTTAATTATTAAAAGAAAAATTGCTTAAGATTCTTCACACCCATCCAACATCTATCAAAATAAAGTATCTAAAAGACTACTACTTCATCACAATGTTCAAGGAATAAGCATCTTGCAAATCATCCTCCACTAAGGAACGCTCAACAACAGCAAACATAGAATAAGTTTCATACTAAGCTAGAGTACACACCATTAAAAAAGCCCTATTCTAATGTCATACAAGTCATTATAAATGATTACGTCAAATGGTCAAAACCCTTAAGCCGAGCATCGGCAATACTAACCAATATTTCAACTTCCATGGCTTAGGTTGGACACATCATAAGTATCAACCAACTTAAGAAATAATTAAAAAGCTCTTCACCAGGGCTGCTCAGTCTATTCTTTAAAAATTAAAACACCTATTCGTAGTTTGAAATGCCTAAAAGGCAAAACCCACAAGCATAATAGGGCAAGACATAGATTGTGGGCACGATAGAAACTATTATTGGAGGTTCCATCCCCTCAAAGTTGTCCTCATTACTCTTGAAGACCTAAAAAGGAATGTTTAAAACCCTACCATTTTTTTTACCACTGAAGTCTCACATGCTACAACCTCACCTCAAGATCACCACATGTCTACTCGAACAAGGGGATCTTAATATAAAGAGGATCTTAATCAATAATAGAAGTTATGTCAACATCCTTTTCTACTCAACTATACTTAATATTGGTCTTTCTTAAAAAATTGCAACCATAAATTAATATCCTATACAATTTTGATAATCATTTTGTATGGGTCAAAATCACCACCACTCATTTGATTATTAATGGTGAATTTCTCCAGCAAATAACTTGCTAAGTGCAATTCACAGTGGTCAAATCTAAATCATCATACAATGTTACTATTAAAATACCTCTATAATCAATCTCACGATAAAATTTACCACTTCAACAAAAAAGTGTAGTTAAGGAACCAACAAAATTCCCTCACATTTTCTCCAGCAAGCACAACCATGAACATTAATAACTCTTGCTATTAATAACTTTTACCTCCATAATGATGATTCTCCGCAAAGAAGCATTATTGTAGAACACCTCTCAATCCATACCTCTTTTGAGAACCTTCAATAAATTATTCTAGTTGAATCACTTCCGATTTCTAAGAAGTAACAGACCTACATGGACCTTTAACCCCATAAGCTTAACCTGGTATTAAACGTTTTGTATTAAACGTTTTGTTGATCATAAAGATAATATGATATGAGCTCATAATGTTTAAATAAATTTTGTAAAAGTACAAACTAACATTTTAGATGCAAGCTAAACGAGTAAATCATGTAATAAGGAGACTCGGAAGCATATAACAACTCAAAGAAAGCCTGAAGTTCTCAAAATTCGTGCTAACCAATGAGATTTCAAGATCAATGCTTCAAGATACTAAGAATACTTTTTTTTAATTTATTAAATCTTGTATTCTCGTATTTTTCAAGTATTGATATTGTCAAGATAACCAACACGCATGGGACAGTTGAGCATCAATAAAATATAAATAAAATATTAAAAATTAATCATAACCGATCATGTTGTATGATCATCAAATGCACTATACAATTACCATAAACTTAAAATCCTCAAAATTTTGACCGTATTGTATGATCTCGAATAGTACTATATAATATTGGGTCATGCCATACAATCTTGGGGTATGTTGTATGATCTCAGGTCATGTTGTACAAATATGGGCCGCACTATACGATCTCAGGTCATATTGTACAAACATGGGGGCACCGTACGATCTAAGATCATATTGCATGATCAAGCTCGATTTCAAATTATAGCTAAGTTTTTTTTAATTAGAAAATTAGCTAATTAATAAAATTTTACCTTAATATTAAACCATATAATATACAGCACATTGTAATATCAATTTTACTTTGATATAATTTCAATGAAATATATTTGCATCAATTAAGATAATTCAAAATTTGAAGCAATCGTACTATATGATGTGAATCATACTATATAATTAGCATGATCAATATTATTATCTCAATCAAATTGATAGAGATAATCATAATTATTTAAAATTTAAACTAATCGTATCGTATACTATGTATCTTCCTATACAATCAATTACCTAAAATAAATCCAATTAAGACATAATTCATAACTACCTAAAATAAATCCAATTAAAATATAACTCATAAAGAAGCCAATATGATTTAAACTGAATTGATCGTATTGTATGATCAACAAAAACAGATTTATGTCTTGACTCAAGCAGCTATATAATTTGGTCTGATGTATAACTTACTTAATATAAAAGCTTATATTGAACCCTAAACAAAATTATTAAAGGAAAATTATTTGAAACTCATAGTCCCCACTGATAACCCTAGAGAGAGTTTTTATAGAGAGAAAGTATGAGATCATATAAAAGGTCTGAGCGAAGGTCTAGTTTTGGAAACTCATACCCACTATAATAATTTTTACAGCATTTTTATCTATTTCAATGTTCTATGATGATATGAAAAAATATTATAAACTATGTCAGCATGGGATGTAACACTTGAAAAAGAATGTTAAAAGGTTTGAAATTTTTTATATTTTGCAAAAATCATATGTTGTAAAAAGAGTTTTGAGTAGATCTAAAAAATATTTTCTTGATATAAAAACTCTTATCTTAGTAATTTTCAACAAAAGAAATTTATTATCAATTTAAACAACAACAACAACATCAAGTCTTTGTCCCACTATGTGGGATCAGCTACATGAATCCTTTTTTCTCCATGAGTCCTTTTAAAAGTTAAATTCTCAATTAAATCTAATAAAGAAAGGAAACCAATTCACCGACTTGGATCTCCTATCTCATTTAAGATGCACTTTATGGATCCCCCAAGATGTGTATGTGATTGATTCAACTCCCTAAATCTAAATCCAACCTTCAAATCAATTGCGCGAAGAAGCACTACTTTGCTCAAGATCATGTCCAAGCTACCGAGCAAGAAGTCGAGAAGCTCTTATAGGTATAATTTATCAGGGAATTCCATCACCCCACATCATCATAATAAAGAAAGCTATTGAAAAATAGAGAATGTGTAAAGACAATAATAATCTTAACAAGCCTTGTCCAAAAGACATGTTGGCTAAATTTGTCCATCGATCCTAACATCTACAAGACCTAAAAAAAAATTTTGCTGCTACCCCATCTCTACCAAATACAACTAACTCCCCCAAGTGTCATTTTGGGGTATCCAAAAAAATCCTAGGTTTTATGGTCGCTTATCAAGGACTAGAATCCAACTTGAATAAAATCGAGGAAATCTAAGACATTTCTCTTCACAACATCAAAGAAACATAACACCGAATTGGGCAAGCAGCAAATTCTATCCTGCTACATGCGGGAGGACTTGTCAAGCTAGATTTCAACGGATTGACTGATGTTAGTTTGCTTTCAAACAATTCGTTTTAAATGGCTTCTCCTCCCTTATTGTCCAAGCCCACAACCAATGAAACCTTGTATATACAATAGGGTACCTCCCCTCAAGCTCTAAGCTTTATCTTTTAGTTAACGAAGAGAATTAATTCCAACAATATATGTGGTACATCAACAAGATTCTCATTAATAACGAAGAATGATATCTTATGGTACACAACATGGCCTAATTAGCTGGCTTAATTAGCTCCAAAAAAATTTGTTAGATTCAAGTCAACTCAAAAAAAAAAATGATTTAGAAGATTTGATTATTTTTTTAATGAAAAGCTCATATAGAATTTTAAATTTTTATAATTTTTTCAATTTCTCATACTCATTTCAGATAATCGTGTTCAATTTGCATCAAGTTGACACTAACCCAACACAACTTAAATGAGTTTGTATTATGTCTTGTCGGTCTTGTGTTTGGTCCAGTCAAGTTCAAATTGATTGTATTTGTGCTTGGTTATTTTCGATTAGGAACCAACCAAATCCAACCCTTAAACCAAAATTGACACCCTTACCATTCATATGGACCCTAAGCTTGTGAAATCATAAAGTTAAAGACAAGGCTGTTGATCGAAATAAAAAAAAAAAAAAACTAATTTATTATATGGACTTAATGAAGCACTTGATGTCAAGTTCAACATCTTTCAAATAATTAAATCCCGAGAGAGCTAAAGCTACTCCAACCTTCAAAATTGCTGCTTTGCCCACTAGCAACTATACAGAAGGAAACTAATCAAACACATCCACTACACTAGCATCCAAGGCCCCAAAGAAATAAGAACACTTAATGCTAGTCAAGAACCATTGTGGATAATCTAATTATTTCCTTTAAAATCGCACTATACCTGATGATCCAATCATCATTGTTGTACTCTGCAGAAGGTCAGCAAACTTTACATTAATTGATGCTGAAATGTTTGGGAAGGCCTTCTCCATACTCTAAATATAGTGCTTGTCTCCATCCAAGGAAACCTACGACCTTCAGGAAGTCTTATCCAAGAGGTGCAGCAAGTATCTGTGTAAGATTTTTAAATTCAATCAACTAGAAATGCAAAAATTATTAGATCCATTTAAATATGACTCATGTCCCACTATTAAAACTCTTCTCCATCCAAAGCCTCTAGCCATTTGCTCAATAAGTAATCAACCTCATTGGTCGTTTCCCTATCATATCTAACTAACACAAAATTTAAAAAAAAAACACATGATCCACCACTTCACCAGGAGGATCAAGGTTGAGCTGCCCTGTAAGATATTGTCTCTCAGTCTAGCCTTTAGATTAACATTTTGATAGATAACAATACAAAGTTTGTAAGGGTTGTCCTTATTACATTTTGACAAGAATAATGCATTAAATTGTTACACACAGTAGCAACGCACCATCAAATAAACAAACAAACTAAAGTCACCAATCATGTTATCTTAAGAGGGCTCAAAAAAATGCTTTGAAGTGGGTATAGAGCAATGGATCAAGGAGCTAAATCAGGTACTTTTGCTCTATTGCACAAAAACATGTCGAACTAATGAAATAACTTTCAACTTATGCTTCAACACTGAAGCCATTATCCCAATTGACACCAGGATACTCAGCTGAAGGTTCAAGGACTTCAATGCTTCCAACAATAATAGTAATATGACAAAATATAGATTCGTACAAAAGATTCAAAATGTTGTCATGCCCAAAATGGCTTATCAAAGACAACATGTCTACTTGAACAAGGTTTTAATATTCACCTAACTTGTCAAAGACTTGATCCTTCACAACTTGGACGTAGTAGGAGAAAGTTCACTCAATAACAAGCTCTCTTGTTTATGAGAAGCTTCAATGTTAGTATTATCACCATCATCAGATTTGAACAATATATATTAAACAAAATTCAATAGGCATGATTCTTCCTCAAACGTGGAAAACAAAAAACCTCCATGCGTATTATTCAGTAAATGCAACCCCTTATCCTATAAACTTGTAAAGAAGTTTATTTATCAACGATGAACCATCTTTTATTAAAACTAATTTCCATAGTTTTCTGCTACCCCCGCTAGACTTTTACCGCTAGGAAGGGTCATATGCCAACCTTGAAAGGGTCTAATCAATCAACTCATGCGAATTGGCAATGTGACTTTATTTTACAATCCCTTGTTGAACTTTTACTCATGGCTAATGTCATACAACAACCTGGCCAACTTAAGATAGTTTCATCTCCACATTAGCTCATATGTTGTTGTGTTGGGCCCCGCCACAAAAATTCTCGCTCTGGCAGGATTAAGGTAAAAGCCTCAAAAAAGGGTAAGATCAATTTCATACCTTTGGGATGATCTCCAAGCCAGAAAAAACTAAAAAAAAAATCTGGCAAATCCTCATAAGCTTACATCAGTTTCCAAATTATAGTAGGTGAACTTCAACTAATAACATACAATAAGGTCCTAAATCCTACAAGACTTTCTGCCCTAATAACATCATATCCTAGCATAATTCATTTAGTGACCTCTAAAAGCAAGACAAAGCCAATGAATTAGAAAACTCATTACCAATACAATATTGTAATCTGATGCGGACCGCCGCTAATAACATACAATAAGGTCCTAAATCCTACAAGACTTTCTGCCCTAATAACATCATATCCTAGCATAATTCATTTAGTGACCTCTAAAAGCAAGACAAAGCCAATGAATTACAAAACTCATTACCAATACAATATTGTAATCTGATGCGGACCGCCGCCGACCGGCAGAGGAGGAGGCGTGTGGGCCGCCGCCGGCCGGCAGAGGAAGTGCCGGCGACCCCGGAGCACGCAGCATCGGCCGGGAAGGAGACCGCGCGGCTCGATCCGCCGAAGGCGACGCGGGCGCGGGACTTGATGCGGAGCGGAGCGGGGGGGTCGGCTTGAGCGGAACCGGTCCATTTCTGGACCGGTTTGGCGATTTCTAGGGTTATGCAAGATTTGAGTTTTCTCTTAGCCTCCTTAGTTTCTTTCTCTTGTTTTTCTAGGGTTTGTGGTGGGAGACCTTGTCCTTCTCGAAGTGGACAAATTGTATCTTGTTTTCCATTGGATTTTGAATGCAAAGGTTTTGGTTCTTCATCTCATCCCTCTTGTGTTGATTTTTTCCTTGATTTGGAGGAGAAATCTTTTCTTTGAAGGAGCATTAGGGCAAACCCAAACTTGGGAACCCTAGGGCGTATCAAGTTGGTATCAGAGCTCTCGATCCTAGACGGCATGACATCAAAGAAGGTAGAAGTTTTGGAGGGAGAGATGAGCCAATTGAAGGAGGAAGTGGGAGAGAAGCTTTCGTCATTGGA